CCCCCCCCATGAGCAGGGGTCAGTGTGGGCACGAGGCAAGAAGTTGAGTGTGATTTTAAACGCCGTAGCTTCGTCTGTCTCTAGGAGGCAGTGACTGAGATGATAAAGCAGGGGTCCTCAAACTACGGCCCGCGGGCCACATGCAAATACAAATATTGTATTTGTTCCCGTTTTGTTTTTTTACTTCAAAATAAGACATGTGCAGTGTGCATAGGAATTTGTTCATAGTTTTTTTTTAAACTATAGTCCGGCCCTCCAACGGTCTGAGGGACAGTGAACTGGCCCCCTGTTTAAAAAGTTTGAGGATCCCTGTGATAAAGGGAGGAGGAGGGAAATTCCCGGAAGGAGCAGGCTTACTTCTCTCCCTTCGAGAACGTGCTGTTTGGAATGATCTTTAGTTCCAGCCGTAAAGCGCCTGGCTTTTCCTTTCCCAACAGCTAATGGGAGCTCTTCTGGGAAAGCCGGGAACGGGAAGCCTCCCTGCGGCGCCACGAAGAGGTCCATCGCCCACAGCGAGGAGTCCGAGGCTTACAAGTCCCTCTTCACCACCCACAGCTCCGCCAAGCGCTCCAAGGAGGAGTCGGCCCACTGGGTCACCCACACGTCCTACTGTTTCTGAGCCCCGACCGCGCCCCGCACAGGCTCCGTCCGGCTCCTGGAGGCCGGCGTGTGGGCGCTGGCTGTGCAGGGGGCCTGCACCGTGTCATCAAGGTGTCCCCCAGACCTTGGTGCCAGTGGCCACTCCTGCCTCTGAGGCACGTAGGTGACTCGCACCCAGTGGCCGCGCCACCCTCTCCCAGCTCAGTGCTCCGTCCTGGCCCCAAGCCGTGCTGGCTGCACTTCCCAGGCTCGAAACCATTAAAGATCCCAGATGCCTCGTCGGTGTGTGCTTGGCTCATTTTGACTAAAATCCGAGGTTTTGCTGCCAGCAGTGAATTAAATAGAAGGAAGGAGCTGTGGCCGCACTCTGCCCGCAGGTGTTTGCTGGAGCACTGAGAGGCCGGGACCCTGGCCGAGAACTGGGGGAGGGGCGTCCCTAGTTTATCACTTCTTTGAAGATAGAAGAGATCAAGTTGGGCACCTGGCATTTGATACAAAAGTAGAGCAAGTCTGCCTTTCCTCTCCTCGGTCTGTATTTCTGTTCTGTCTCCCACTGATGTTTTCTAAGAAAGTTGAGCGTCAGGACTAACTCCATGGTGTTGTCAATTCCTGTCTTTAAATACTAATCATAAACATTTCCTTTAACAAAACTCACGTGGGACAGAACTTCCTCATTGTTTCTGTAGTTTGAGGTCATCTCTGAATCAAGGCTGTTTGTCCCTTCCTGCAGTCCCCCTAACCACCAAATGTTAGAGCTATAATATGGGGTACACCTCAGGATACTCCGCAGGTGTGGCCCAGAGCACAGGGATGCCTCTCCCACAGGAGCCGTGTGAGGAGGGCCTAGGGACAGACGAGGTGGCAAAGATGAGCCCCTGAGCGTCACGGCACACCTTCCAGCCGCAGCCATAGAGACCAGGCCAGCTGCTGCCCGCTGCCAGGCGTCGCCTGCAGGGAGGCCCACCCCTTCAGACGGCACGCTGCCCCTGGGGGAGCAGTGAGGGCACAGCCCTGCTCACTGATCCCTCTGGTGCCAGACCGTCTCACAGAGCCTTTGCCGCTGCCCAGAGCTCAGCACAGCTTGAAGTTCCTAGGGGACCTTTGACCATACTCAGCAGAAGGTTGGTTTCTGGGGAATAAGTGAGCCAGGTGACCAGGGGACAGGGACAAGCCTTGTGTTCTGTTAACGGCTTTCCTGTTTCGTGTCATTCGCTGGCCAGCGAGCCCCAGCTATACTCCCGGCATCAGCCTCGCTGCCTTCAGGCTGTGTGCTCACCTCGGCCCTCGCCCCTGTCCAGGGGCCAGTTCCCTCCTGATCAGCCTTCAAACTCGACCCAAATGCCTTTTTCAGGAAAGCCTTCCTGTGTCACCTGACCCTGCTCTATTCAATACTCCCTGCTCCAATCACCGTTTAATAAAATATACCCTTATTCGCCCAAGGCCTGCACCCTGGTGAAAGCAGTGAGTGAGGCGGTGGGGACTGGCGGGGGCTGGAGAGAGCGTGACCACCTAGAAGGCATTCCTACTGGGACCAGTGTTTTCAGATCTAACATGTTTTCAAAAGGAGCCAGAAATCCAAGTTTTAAAAAGACCCTCTCCCCAACCCCAACATTAAATCCTGCAAATAATTATTTTTAGAAACAATGTAAGCCAATGGTTCCTAATGTTTAATTTTTGTTTTTAGTCCTCACCTGAGGATATGTTTTTATTGATTTGAGAGACAGAGAGAGAAACATCAATGTGTGACAGAAACATCCATCAGTTGCCTCCCGTACGCACCCCGACCGGAGCTCGAACCCACAACCTAGGTATGTGCCCTGACCAGGAATTAAACCCACAACCTTTGGTTACAGGACGACCTCCAAACACTGAGGCCCCGGCCAGGGCGCCTCTGGTTTAATGTCTTTCTCATTGGGCTCAGCTCCACAGGGCACATGCCCCGCATGTGACACGGCATCTGAACTCAACAAACAAAGCACAAAGGCAGGCTGGCCTCGGCCAACACAGCGCCAGGGAATCAGAAAGGCTAGCAAGGACATGGCAAGCACCATCCACCCTGTCTTGGTGACGGCCTGCTGGGAATGCCTCCAGCTCCCTACATCCTCCTTCCGGACCCTGGCCTCACTGGCCTCCCTGCCGCCATCACAATGGCCGGAGCGCTCCTGGCCGGGGCCTCTGTGACATCAACCCGGCTCAGCCCCAGCACTCAGAGTCCAGGTGCGAGGGCAGACAGACCCACCATGAGCAGCCTCCTCCCCCACCCCTGCTCACCATGCGGACCCTGAAATGGACCTTGTTCCTGCCCATGTGCCTATCTTGCGGCTACGCCTTTATGTTTTCTTCTCTGAGGGAGAATGTCAAAGCACCCCCTGGAAAGGTGCCTTGCGGAGGGCACTTCCGAATTAGGCAGAACCTACCAGAGCACGCCCCAGGCTGGCTCGTCAGCAAGTGGCTCTGGCTCTTTTTTATTGTTATACTGTATCTAATTCTCAAGTTTCGAAGAGACCGTGAGAAGATTAAGGTAAGGACGGCTCCATGCTTTATCCCAGGTTGCTGCCCCCTCAGAAATCTCTGACTCCGAGACACGGGGGTGGTCCAGGCAGGACGGTAGAGTAGAAGGGATTTTAATGCAAAGTGACCACCGCGGTCCTGGGAGACGCTGGCCAGTCCTGTCCTGATGGAGCCCAGACCCACCACGGCTGGGACTACATTGGAGACCAGCTTCTGGTTACTAGGTGAAGGAAACCTTGGCTTGGTATGTAGCCTGTTCGATGAGTTTGTTCAATGAGGATAGATTCAAGAACTTGGTGTGTTTGGGGTCGAAATTACTCACAGAGCCAGATTGTCTGCCCGAGGTTTAATTTCCCTCGCAGTTGACTTCTTACAAGTTGCTGAGTCGGATGCAGTTGATAGCATTATCCCCAGTAAAGGTGAAGAACTTTGTAAAGGGATAGAGGTGTGAAAAGGTGACAGCCCCTGCCTGCAGCAGCCAATCATCTCCATGGTGGGGAACGAGACAGAAAATGGCAGCTTATTCTCTACCAGACGGACCCCCACACCTCCCTGGGCTGTGTCCAAACCGACCAGAGGGGCTGGCAAGCCTCTCTGTAGAGGCCCAGACACTAGATGTTTTCAGCGTTGCAGTGAGTGATCAACTCTGCCACTTCAGTCTGAAAGCAGCCCTAGTAGGCCAGCGGTCGGCAAACTCATTGGTCAACAGAGCCAAATATCAACAGTACAATGATTGAAATTTCCTTTGAGAGCCAAACTTTTTTAACTTAGACTACATAGGTAGGTACATTGTTATTAATTAGGGTACTCCTAAGGCTTAGGAAGAGCCACACTCAAGGGGCCAAAGAGCCTCATGTGG